TGTGCGGGTGGGGGGTGGGGGGCATGAGGGGGGCGGGGGGGAGCCTAGGACTGGGCTGGCAGGGGTCTGCAGGTTGGGAGTGAGGGGGCAGAACTGGGGGGGGTCAGGGCTGGGCTAGCAGGGGCTATGGGTTGGGAGCGTGGGGTACTGGCAGGGCTGGGGGAGCAGGGGTTAGACAGCAGCAAGTCCAGTCCCCACTGGGTGGTTTAACCCATCCCTTGCTGGGCCCCTGGCTGGGCTGGGCTGTGTGGAGACAGCCAGCAGGGGCTCGGCCCCCGGGGGCGAGGCTGCAGCACAGCAGGGATCTGGGGTGTCCTAAGGTCCCTGCATCCCCATCAAGGGAAACTAGGATGTGGCTGGGGGAGCAGGGGTTAGACAGCAGCAAGTCCAGTCCCCACTGGGTGGTTTAACCCATCCCTTGCTGGGCCCCTGGCTGGGCTGGGCTGTGTGGAGACAGCCAGCAGGGGCTCGGCCCCCGGGGGCGAGGCTGCAGCACAGCAGGGATCTGGGGTGTCCTAAGGTCCCTGCATCCCCATCAAGGGAAACTAGGATGTTGGGGCTCCAGGCCTCCTGTCCCTCCTCTGGGCAGGACACCCTGCCCCTCCCCCAGCTGCCTGATCCTTTCCTATCTGGGGTGACAAATGGGCCCAGAGCAGAGAGAAGTGCAGCCTATCCCCACCCCCACTCTGGCCCCGTTTGCTCCTGGTACCCTGGGAAGGGGCTTCTTCAGGATCCAGGACAGGGTTATGGGTTGGGATCATCCAGGCCTCCTGTCCCTCCTCTGGGCAGGACACCCTGCCCCTCCCCCAGCTGCCTGATCCTTTCCTATCTGGGGTGACAAATGGGCCCAGAGCAGAGAGAAGTGCAGCCTATCCCCACCCCCACTCTGGCCCCGTTTGCTCCTGGTACCCTGGGAAGGGGCTTCTTCAGGATCCAGGACAGGGTTATGGGTTGGGATCAAAGGTTGAGGCCCCTGCCCATCGGGTACACTCCGTGGAGGGATTAACCCCCACAGGAAGAGGAGCCCCATTCCACAGATGGGGAAACTGAGGCACAGAGGGGCTATGCTCACTACCCTAGACTACACAAGTCACGTGACACCCCAACAGGGCAGGCAGGTAACACAGAGCAGAGAAACGCGCCCTGCTGCTCACAGGCTTTGTCTCCCCTGGCTGGGGTCACTGGGTCGGGGAGTTGGGAGGAGCTGACCCAGTTCCTCCATTGTGTTCTGCAGGAACCCTGCCCTTGGGGAGGGGAGGCTGCCAGCCTGAGACCCTGCCCTGGGGGGATGAGGAGGCTGCCGGCCCCTGGATTTTTTTGGGGGGAGAGGATCTGAGAGCAGCGACTCAGGCTTACGGGTTTTAACTCATTGGGGAGCTAGTGCAACTCATGGACATTAGCTGGGGGGGTCAGCCCGCAAGATGGGGGACTTTAGGGCAGGGGGGAGAAGGATGGGGAAGTGTCTCACTATGGAATGGGGGGTGTAGGGGAGATAAGGGTGCAGGCGGGAAGCCATGGGGATGGGCATAGTACAGGCTCTCCCAGGGAGCAGCTGGGGAAATCCCCCTTATGCTCCTCTGGTCTCCGCATGCTGGCCCCTCCCCGAGCTAGGAGATGCTGCCAGATGTGTCCGTATGTCCTGGCTCAGGAGTAGCCACCAGATGTTGGGGGGGAAGGGCTGGCTTTCTGTGTCGATTCCAGCTGTTGGGGAGAATTAGTCATCTTTTCCATGCTCCGGTCGGTCGGTCGTGAGAAGAGATTAGCCTCTCCTGGGGAGGAGTGGATCAGACCCCAGGAAGGAGGTGCTGGGGGCAGATTTGGGCTGTGGGGTGGGAGCTAGAGGAAGGGCTGGGGTGGGCGGAGACACAGGGTGGAACGTGACTTTCTCTGGTGGCCCTGGGATGGGGGGGAAGCCAGCTACTCGGCCCTGGAGATCTGACACCCCTCTCCCCACCTTAACACTGCCCCCTGGTTCCTCCTGCAGGTTCCGGCTGTGGATAGCTGCAGGGCCCTGGCTCATACCCAGGATGGAGCCCGACCTCCTGCCCCTTGTCCTGACTGCTGAGCCCTGGGGCTTTAACCAGCAAGCCTCGGAGCTGGGGCCAGGTACCCCTGGCCCGGACCCCTGCAGCTGGGAGCCGCAATCTGCGCCCTCTGCCTTCTCTTTGGGGTCGTCTACAGCTGCTTTGGTGAGCGGGCCAGGCGGGGCAACATGGGGGCTGGATCTCATGGCAGGGAGGGCTCAGAGACACCCCCCCCCAACTTCTGCTGCTTCTCACTCCCAACATGCAGCCCCTGCTAGCCCAGCCCTGGGCTCCCCCCAGCTCTGCAGTGACCCCTGTAAGCTGGGGGCTTATGCGGCCACTGAGGAGAGTCCAGCCCCACCCAGCTGAGTAGCAGAGTGCCCCCAGTTTTTTTTTTCTATTGATGGTGCACATTTGCACATGCCTCGGTGCACATGACAAAACTTATTCTGCACATAAGTGGAAAAGCAGCTTCCTCCACAGAGCTGCTCATGCCCCTCACTCTGCAGCCCCCCTGTCTCCTACAGTCCTCCCCCCCAGAACCATCCCCCCCATATGCTGGGTCCTGCTAAGGTCTCTCCCCTCCTCCACTTCCCAGGTTACCGCTGCTTCAAAGCCATCATGTTCCTCTCGGGGCTCCTCTTCGGCTCCCTGGTCATCTTCCTGCTGTGCTACAAGGAGCGGGTCCTGGAGACGCAGCTGAGCCTGGAGGTGAGCGCGGGCATCGCGCTGGGCATCGGCGTGCTGTGCGGGCTGCTTACCATGCTGGTGCACAGCGTGGGGCTCTTCATGACGGGCCTGCTGCTGGGGCTGCTGCTGGGCACGGGCGCCCTGCTGGGCCCCGGG